CAGAAAAAAAAGAAGTCAAAGATGACTTTATTCACCTTGGGAGACTGGATGAGATGTTATGGACAGAACAAGGGCGAAAGGGAAACCAATTTGGGGAAGGTTGATGGTTTTCTGGCATTGCTCTATTTGCATGGTACATGAAGAGACATCCTATATGCCGCTGAAAACAAAAATTAGAAGTCAAAGCTAGAAATATAGATTTGAGAGGTGATAATTCCCAGCACATATAAGAATGGAAATGGATGAGCTCACCCCAGGAAGCTCTCAGCCCAAAGGATTGATGCTGTGGTTTTTTGTATGAGGGTGGAATTTCATTGATGCTTCTTACTGGTAACTCTGGATCTCTTGAACCCTTCCCTGATTCATCATCTCTCACCTAGATTATTACAGCAGTCTTCTGATTGGTCTTCCTGCCTTAAGTCTCTCTCCAACCTCCACATATGATATGACTATATCACTCCTCTGGTCAGTCAACTCCAGTGGCTCCCTGTTACCTCTAGCACAAAATAGAAACTCCTCTGCTTAGCTTGGCAGTTAGGTGGTGCAGTGGATAGAGTGCCAGGCTTGGAATAGGGAACACTCATCTTTCTGAGTTCAAATCTGGCCTCAGACATTTACTAGCTGTTTGACCCTGGGCAAGTCACTTAACCCCATTTACCCCTGTTTCCTCATCTGTAAAATGAGCTGGAGAAGGAAATGGCAAAACCCTCCAATATCTTTGTCAAGAAAACCCCAAATGGGGTCACGAAGAGTTGGACATGACCAAATGACAACTGCTTAGCTTTCAAAGCACTTCACAACCTGACCCCAAACTATCTTTCCAGCTCCACAGGATATTACTTCCCTTCCCCTCCAGTGTGATCCAGCCAGACTAGCCCTCTCTGTGTTCCTCACACACAGCACTCTAGCCATCCCCTAGCTATGTGCTTTTGTACTGTCTATCCTTCATGCTTAGAATAAACCCTTCCCTCCTCTGTACCTCATAAAAGTCCTCTCTTCCTTCAAGAGGACGGTGCTTTTCTAGGTCCATCTCTCTCTCTCTCCCTCTCTCTCTCTCTCACATACACACATATACACACACACACACACCAGCAATAGCTAGTGCCCTCCCTTCTCCAACTACCTTGCATTTATTTATTCCCTTATACTTATATATATATATACACACACACACACACACACACACACATATATATGTATGTATATATATATGTATATATATGTACATATATATATTTCCCCATTAGAATGTAAGCTCCATCACAGCAGAAATTGTTTCATTGTTTTTGTATCCCCAGCACCTAGCACAGTACCTGGTACAGAGTTTGCATTTAATAAATGCCTGTTGATTGTTGAATTTCCTGAGGCACCAGGCCTTTCATCCCAGGCCTTAAAAAAGGACAGAACCCACTTTCCCCTTTCCCCCATCCTGGAAGCCCCCAAGGTCAAACTTCCCCTTTGCTACTACTCCCCCCCGCCCCCTTCAAGTAGCTGGACCTACCTGATGAGCTGATAGTTGATGGGAAGACAAGGTACAGGGTAAGATATTCCATCTTCTCCACTGCCATAGCTCAGTCTCTCCCTGGTTCTTGTGCCGGTAACAGGTTCTGGCTAGGGAGGAATGGACTAGGTACCAGGCTGGTTCTCTTTGAAGCCTTTCATTTGAGGCAATTAACTATCTGGTTTCTCCCTTCCTAAAACATGTTAATTCCAATTTGGATGACTCAGGAAGAATTCACTTTTCTGGTGACTGAGGTCCCACCTAAGTAATGAGGGGCACCAAACCAGACATTTCTATCCCTGCTTATAGCTAGGACTGTGGCAAGAATGGTAATGCCATTTCCTGGCCCCCTCCTCCCAGGATGGCTACCTCAGGAAGAAGAGACTGGGATTCTCTTCCCTTCTATCCTCTACTCTCCATTCACGGAAGGTTTGGGGGAAAGGGATGAAATGATTCAGGTCACCTCCCTCCCTTTCCATTTCTCTAGCCACAAAACCAGCCCCATAACAGAGAGATGTCCATAGTAGTTGTATAGGGAGAGAGTAATGCAGAAAGGGGAGGGAGTGGGGGACTTGGTGGGAGGGAGGGAGAGAGCAGTGGAAGGAGGAGAGGGTGGTGTGGTGAGCTGAGCAGAGCTGGGCGTTGGCCTGATCTCAGAGGAAAAAGGAGGGCAGAGAGAAGCATCTTACCGCAGTTGGCTGACCTTGGATTGTTGAACCTTGGAATGCTGACCTCTCAGTGAACAAAGTCTACACACACACACACACACACACACACACACACACATACACACACACACACACACACACAGAAAGCATTAATCCAGGACCAAAGCTCCCTAAAAGATTTAGAGTTGAGGCCTCTTGTACAGCCTTACTCAACCTGACTACCATAGAATGTTATAGCTAAAAGGGACCTTACAGATGATCTATTTCAAACCCCTGAGGCAAAGACAGGTGAACTCATGCCAGTTAGGGGCACAGCTGGGACTGGGATCTAAGTCTGTGTTTCCTGTGTAGACGTATTACAGCATGGTACTTGGTCAGAAAATCTTAAGTTTTAATCCCAACTCTATCTCTTACCAGCTGTGTGACTCTGGACAGGTTACTCCTCCTCTCTGGTCCCATTCTCCTCATGTATAAAATGGAGTTGAGACTTCTTCCATTGCCACCTCAATGAACTGCTAGTGCAGTGAATAAAGCACTGGGCCTGGAATCATCTTAGACCTAAATTAAAATCCTGACTCAGATACTTACTAGCTGTGTGACCCTAGGCAAGTCACTTAGCCTCTATTTGACTCAGTTTCATCTGCAAAATGGGGGTATGTGGCTGGCAAATAGTATTGCTATATAAATGCTTATTTCCTTCCCTCTTGTATGGAATTTTGTTGTTGAGTCATTTCAGTTGTGTCTCACTCTTTGGGACCCCATTTGGGGTTTTCTTGGCAAAGATACTGAAGCCTTTTCCTTCTCCAGCTCATTTTACAGGAAACTGAGGCAAGGTAAGTGACTTGCCTAGGGTCACACAGCTACTAAGTGTCTGAGGCCAGATTTTCACTCAAGTCTTCCTGACTCCAGGCTTTGCATTCTATGCACTGTGCCTCCCAGCTGCCCTCTTGTATGGAAAGCACTATCTAAATTTAAGCTGATATCATTTCTTTTTCCATGGCACAATGCTCTTCTTGTCTGGCTTAGTTTCTTAGGATTAGAGCTTTTGAAGGGAGGGAACTTAGAATTCATCAAATCCAACCTGATCATTTTTTGGATGAGGAAACTCAGGCCCAGAGAGGAGAGGTGATTTGACCAAGGTCGTGCAGATAAGTGACAGACCCAGGATTCAACCCCAGGTCTTCTAATTCAAATCTGGCCCTCTCCAGAACACTCCATATTACCTATCTCTAAATGATCAATTCTAGGGACTATAGCCAGGTCCTTCTTTATGTGGATTATTATATGTATACAAAACGTTCATGTGGATTGTACGCAGATACATGTATCTAGCTAGATGCAAGTTTTATAATAAAGATATACAGGTGTCCCAAAAATCTTAGTGCAGTTTTTTAGCTCTTAAAGCTTAAAACCGCGGTAAGACTTTTGGGACACTTCCCATGGGAATGTGTTGAGTGTACACACATCTCTATTGCTGTTCCTTTTCTTCTCTCTACCTCAGTCTTGCTCAGTTCCTCCTCCCTCCCTGATCTCTGTCTTTGTCCAGTTTAGCCTCCTCCTATTGACTGGTCAAGACTGAAAATCAATCTCAACCTCTCTTTCTCTTGATGAACTTTGGCAGGACCTGCCTGATTCCCTCCTGTTCTTAAGACAGCTGAGCAAGCCTTCCCCTCACTCATTCCTCCACCCCTTCCCATCTCTGGAATCTCCTCCTTTTCCAGTAAAGTCTGTGACAGAAGGGCACAGAGCTGGAGAGGAGGGAGAGCCCAATAAATCCAGACAATGGAGAAATGGGCCCCTTTCAACGAGCTTCCGTCAGACCAGAGCCAGCACAAATGCTCCTTGCCCCTATTTCTTCCCTTCCCACTCTCTCCCTCCCCCAAAGAGCTGATGGAAGTAGGGTCTCAGGTCTTGGGGCTAAGCCCTCACGAATGCAGTGATATGGGTTAGGCATGGCTCTGCAGGGACTGTGTCTTTAAGGCTAAGAGTGCAGGCTAGCAGCTATGGCCAGAGTCAAGCACCCAAGGTGGGGGCTGGAGAAGGTGGGGGGGTGGGGAAGAGCCTTTTATCCATTAGCAGTGGAGCTGGCGCCAGGCAGCAGCCTTTGATGGGGCTCTGGGGAGCAGGGAGGTATCTACCCACCCCCACTTCTGATGATTTTCTACACATACATACATACAGCAAAGGAATACCAAAGCAAAACTGTGGTCCCTTACACCTCATTCTAACTTAAATTGGGGTTGGAGGGAATGGGACCGAGCAGGTTGGAGGGAATGGGACCGAGCAGCACCTACATGCTCAAAACAAGGGCCAGGTGTCTTGGTGTCTGCTCTATGTGGTGATTTTTTTCTCACATCTTTCCTCTGTCATCCATGGAGCAGAGGGGGCAGTAGCCCTATCATTATATATCTTCCTTCATCTATATTTCTGTGTTAAACATCTGCACCTTGAACCCTTCACAACATTCTTGTGTCCCCTCACATCTATCCCCTTCCCACGCAATTTACTTTTCCTTGAAGGCAGGGATCAACCCTGACAACACCCAGCACAGTGCTGGGCACAGAAGAGCTGGTCAGTAAATACTGAGTGACTTAGATTAATTCCATCTGATATTAATCTGGGGTCCATCTCCTCTGTTCACCCCAAGTGGACAAATCTGCTTTTCCCATCACCCCCAAGTCAGAAATGCTGGGCCAAGCCCTGGCCCAGAAGGTGAGGGGACTGAAAGGTTTGTAGAGAGATGGAGCAGCCCCCCTTCCCGCTCGGCCTCCACTCAGACGAAGCAGTCAGGCCAGTGGGAGGAGTCAGCCCCCCCTTGTGCCTGGCTGGGCTATAAAGCAGCCTCTGGCTCCATCAGCATCTCCTCCCCAACCCCCACAGCTGCTCCTGCAGTCTTTCCCTGGCTGGCTGTGTGGCTCCAGAGTCCTCAGCCACCATGAGTCACTTATCAGGCCTTAGAACTAGCTCCAGCTCTACCTCATACCGACGCACCTTTGGGGCACCACCCTCACTGTCCCCAGGCTCCTTCTCCTACTCCTCAGGTTCCCGCTTTTCCAGCCGCCTGCTGACCTCTCCATCCCCCAGCTCCTCTGTCCGTCTGGGGAGCTTCCGGGGACCCCGGGCTGGGGTAGGTGCCCTGCGCTTGCCCTCAGAACGCCTTGACTTCTCCCTGGCCGAGGCCCTGAACCAGGAGTTCCTGGCCACCCGAAGTAATGAAAAGCAGGAACTTCAGGAGCTCAATGACCGCTTTGCCAGCTTCATAGAGAAGGTTCGGTTCCTGGAGCAGCAGAATGCAGCCCTACGTGGGGAGCTGAGTCAGGTCCGAGGCCAGGAGCCTGCCCGAGCAGACCAACTGTGCCAGCAGGAGCTTCGTGAGCTTCGTCGGGAGCTGGAGTTGTTGGGCCGAGATCGCGATCGAGTGCAAGTGGAGAGGGATGGGCTGGCAGAGGATCTGGCTGCTCTTAAGCAAAGGTCAGGGGAACTTGCTCAGAGAAGAGAAGGGGCCCAAGGAGGGGGGCAGGTGGGGAGGGAGGAAGGGACGTGAAGCTTGAGAGGATATGAATCACCTGTTGGGGGGAAATCTACAAGGGAGGCTTGGGGCATGGGAGAAGATGGGGATGTGTATCAGGTGGCCTTATCCACTCTGCTACTCTCCCGGTGCCACAGAGCTTGGGTGTGGCTCACCCTGGATCCAAGCTGGATGTAATACTGCCTGGATTCTGGCCCTTTCTTTGTTGTGCCTCCTGGGGGACATCCCCATCTCCCTCCACACTCAGTCCTTCACAGACCCTTGAGAGGAACACTTAGGAGGACCTAAAGCAATCACGTTACAGTGCCTGATTCCTCTAACTTTGTGTTCTGGGGTGGCTTCTACCCAGAACTCCTAGTTCTTGTATCAGATGGTACCCAAGGGAATCAAAGGAAAGGGTCTTGCGGGGGGAGTCTGAGCAGTGTTTCCTGGGCTCAGTCTCTTACTATTGTACCTGTCAGGTTGGAAGAGGAGATACATAAACGAGAGGATGCAGAGAATAATCTGGTGCTTTTCCGGAAGGTAAGCAGGGTGTGGCCCCTAGCGTGGATCCTGGATCCTCTTCCATCAGCCAAGCTGTGGCATCACTATAAGGCACCTGTCCTTTTCCCCAAAGAGTCAGGGATCTCTGGTGCTGGGGGAGGTAGATGGGATCTCTAAGGCAGTCAGGAGCAGGATCATATCCTTACTGAATCTGACCAACTCACTGCCCTCTCAACAACCTGCCCCTGCTTCTGCCTAGGATGTGGACGATGCAACACTGTCCCGCCTGGAGTTGGAAAGGAAGATTGAGTCCCTGATGGATGAGATAGAATTTCTCAAAAAACTACATGAGGAGGTGGGTGGCTGATGGGAATGGGGGAGGGAGGCAGGAGGGGAAGGGATAAGATCTAACTCTCAAGAGGATCTATTAGGAGGGAGGGGCCTTAGTAGGGAGCTGACTCCCGCCCCTGCTGTAGAAGTGGTGCTCACTCACGCCCATGCACCATCTGGTGGTGAGCAGCAGAATTGTATCCCTGCAAGCAGACACAGGAGAGGCCCAGGGGCAAGGACAATTCTGTCCTCTATTGGGGAGACCAGTTTCTAACTACCCTACCTGTTCATCTTCGTAATTTCTTCTTTTTTTCCCCATTTCTACGTGGCATGTGTGTGGGTGTGGAAGAAGAGGGGAAAGGGTGGGTTACATGGGGCTGAATCTGTCCATATGTCTAGGACTTAGGGGTGCCTTTGCCTATTCTTGGGTGGCTTTCCCATTACTGGAATGGCTGGCCTGGGTGCAGTTCTGACCTCTTGGGTGTGGCATACATCTGGTGTGTGGATGGTATGGGCAAATATGCCCAGTGTCCATTAGATGTATATCCGGATAGTGTGGTGGACCCACATGGGGTGTGGTCATTGGGTGGCAGGAGCTGAGGGACCTACAGGTGAACCTGGAAAGCCAACAAGTGCAGGTGGAGGTGGAGGCGACAGTGAAGCCAGAGCTGACGGCAGCACTCAGAGACATCCGCACTCAGTATGAAAGCATAGCAGTGAAGAACCTGCAGGAGGCAGAAGAATGGTACAAGTCTAAGGTGTGGACCTGGACGCTGGGGGATGCAGGGGAAGAGGAACTGAGGACAGGGGAAGCTGGAAAAGCAAGGTGGGGGGAGCAGAGGCTAGAATGGACAACCTCAACTGTGTCTCCCCAACCCTACCCAGTATGCAGACCTGTCAGATGCAGCGAACAGGAACCATGAGGCCCTTCGCCAGGCCAAGCAGGAGATGAATGAGTCCCGAAGGCAAATCCAGAGTCTAACCTGTGAAGTGGATGGGCTACGGGGGACTGTAAGTGCCGGGTGGAGGCTGGGGCTTCTATGGGTTACCTGAAACATGGGCATCAGGGGACCGGGGAAGGGAGTGGCCAAATAAAGAGCCACTCTCCTACCCCTGGTAGAATGAGGCATTGCTTCGGCAACTTCGAGAGCTGGAAGAGCAGTTTGCCCTGGAGGCTGGGGGGTACCAGGCCGGGGCTGCCAGGCTGGAGGAAGAGCTCCGACAGCTGAAGGAGGAGATGGCCCGGCATCTTCGTGAGTACCAGGAGCTGCTCAACGTCAAGATGGCCCTGGACATTGAGATTGCCACCTACAGGAAGCTGCTGGAGGGAGAGGAGAGCAGGTGGGAGTAATGGGGTACAAGGTGGGAACAGACAGGACAGGAAAAGGAGGATGGAAGAGCTGGGGGAGTGGGAGGAGGGAGCAGACCTGGGTAGGGATAGTATTAGGTAGAGATGGAAGGAAGGAAGAAGGGAGGAAAAGAAGGAATGAGGGAAGATAGAGAGGAGTTGTCAAAGAACTAGAGAAAAGAAGGGGTTGAAGATGTTGAGAGACTAGGCAGGTGGAAGAATGCCCCATCTCTGATCACACTGCCCTCACCCTTTCTCCAGGATCTCTGTGCCAATCCACTCCTTTGCCTCCTTCAGCATGAAGACATCTGGTGAGTCACAGACATAGACACACACATTGGCTGTTCTCATACCACCTTCTCCACCTCTAGATGCCTTCACTTTCCTACCCCAGTGGATGATAGGATATAGTCATAAGGGACCTTAAACAATTTGACTGAAATCCCTCATGGACAGGAAGTGATTTGCCCAAGATCAATAAGGAATAGGGCAAAGAGTCAAGTCCAGATCCTCTGATTTCAAATGCCAGGCTCTCTCAATTACGCCATGTCTTTACTACCTACACCTCTTAGGTCCTCTATCCCAGCTCTGTTTTATAACCCAGGATAACTTCTATTCCCTATTTCTCCAAGGAGGCAAGAGATTTTAGTCTCTCCTCTCCACAGCTTCCACTCACCAACAAACATTTGATTTGGAGGGGCCTCAGGATCAAGTCCCAGGTCTGCCAGTGACTATATGATCTTGGGCCAGTCACTTAATAGTTCATTTTCTATGACATTTTAAGTTTTTGAAAGCCCTTTCTCAACAACGCCCTGAAGTAAGCTGTCCAGGCATTATTATCTTTATATTACAGATGAGGAAACATGAGTATGTTACCTTTCCTCAGTTTCCTAACCTGCAAAATGGGGATAATTATAACTACCTCAGACTTGTGTGGCTCAAACGAGAATGTCTGTAAAATGTCATAAACCTTAACATGCTGTGAAACTGTGTAAAATGTATAAACTATTATGATTATTTCCTTTCCCTGTCTTCCCCTCCATCCACCCCCTCAATACTCTACTCCCTTAAGTGCCTGAGCCTGAACTTCCCTCGGACACCCACAGCCGAAAGATGGTTTTGATCAAGACCATAGAAACTCGAGATGGGGAGGTGAGTTGGGAAGCACCTGAGGGTCTTCAGGAGGTCCTTAGTTTTGTTCTTTATTTCTGTGAGCCACAACAACAGAGGGAGGTGGGCGTGATGGACAGATGGGTAAAAGCTATTGTTCCTTAGGCCAGGGAGGGGTAAACCCCAGCTTTCACGATGGGGGGGGGCAGTGGGAGCCAACAGGCCTCAACAGGCCACTAAGCCTATCCTTCTCAGCAGGTGGTGACAGAGTCCCATAAGGAACAGAGGAGTGAAATAGATAAATCTTCCACTCACAGCTACTAAGCCTTCAATGAACCGAAGATGCCTACCACTCTCTCCCTAAACTTCCAGATCAGGGGTCTGAACTAGCCCCTACACCCTGCATGGTGCTTGGGGCCTAGTTCCCACCAAACCCCAAATCCCAAGTAATGTAATGACCCAACTGTGGGTCATCCCTTTAGCTGGTGCTGTGGACGCATTCTCCAATCTCCCTGGCATAGGGCCTCCTCCTTCCACAACATGAATGTGGCCTCTTCTTGTCCTTTTGCATATCTGTGGCCTAGCATCCATCCTAATTGCACCCCTTTCCCACCAATGGGTGAGCCCATTGACCCAAAGATGACCCCCTCTACCCTGTAACCGTATGCAGTCCGTGATCCCTTCCTCTGTCTCTGCTAAATCTCTGCATTTTGCTTTTACCATCAATAAAGTAAAGTTACCATCAAAAGAGACCCTTGGCTCAGAGCCTGATATGGGATAGGGTGGCGGGAGAGGGCTTTAGATGGCTTCACCACAACCCTGCAGAGGGAGCATGGGCGGTACCCCCTGGGGGAGCCTGACACGATTCTGGGGTCACCACCAGGCCAGGTAATGCTCTCAAGGGCCATAGGACTAATTTTTAATGTGGTCAGACCATCATAAGGTGGGGGAGGGGAATGCCATCAAAGACCCCTGAACCAGTGACAACAAAAGGTCAACTTCCATGATGTCTAGTCTTAGTAGTTCTATACTCTTAACATGGATGTGTTTCCTATTTCCAGTTTTTGCAACTACAAATGCCCATGTTCTTCTGCAAATGTAAACAGGTCAACACAGCTTGCCAGGGAACACAGACATACACAGGCAGGGGACTGGTAAACTGACGCTTTTTTCTCCTTGGTGAAAGATCCTCCCAACCCAGCCCCAATCTAGTCAACTCATTCATACAAAGAATCCAAAGAAAAGGCTGTTACTTAAAGCCAAGATTTTATTGTCCTTCCTCTAGAAGCAAACCCCAAGGCAATTTCCCAGAGCAGTGGGTCAAGTTAGTTAATAGTAAGAAAAATTGTTTAGTATACAGAAGGTTCTCGGGTTCTGGAGACCTCCACATAAGATTATTTTATATAGTGTGAATTTGCCTGTTGACACAGGGAAGGGAGAGAAGGACATAGAAAGGGGGCTGCATACCACCCCCCCTCCCCGAGTTGTGGAGGAAGGGGGCCAGTATAGGTTCAAAGACAGGTGAGGGCCAGGGACAGAGAAGGGACAGCAGGAGGAGGAACACTGGGATCAGGGCCAGCCACGTGGGGGCCTTGGCTAACGGGGAGGAAGGAGAGGTGGGGTGAGACCTAGACACACTGGGGCTGGGCATCGACAAAGACAGAAGAGCACAGCCATACATGGGGACGTGTGTGCTTGGGGCCTAGTTCCTACCAAACCCCAAATCCCAAGTAATGTAATAACCCAACTGTGGGTCACCCCTTTAGCTGATGCTGATGATGCATTGTGGGGGGCCAGACACCTGGCAGGTGGGTGGAGTGGAACAAATATCTCCTCTCTCAGTGCAGGAGGTTTCAAGAAGGTGAGGTAATCTTTCCCAAGTCAGTTCTTCTGCTTTTACATGGAGGATTTTTTTTTAGGATTTTTTTTTTTGGTGGGGGGTGGAGGGTGGCAAGGCTGCCTAGAGGCAGGAGTGGAAAGAGAGCACAGTAAAGTTGAACATAGATGTTTTTGAGGAATGCAGATTTCTTTCAGAATTCTTTAGTAAAATTGAATTTGGGTAATGTGAGAACTGTCTGTACTTTTTTTCTACTTACCTACAAAATCTCACTATTGTGTTTGTTGGGAAGATCTCTCCCTCTTTCCTAAACTGTGATAATGCTCATCTCAGCCTGTGAAACAAATTTTTGAAGCTCTCTAGTTCTTGTAGATAACATAGTTTGCATCCTAAGGAGTCAGAAGAAGGATGTATCCCCGTCCCATTCTCACTATCCCATTTAGCCAATCACTGCCATAGAATACCAGGGAACCAGAAGAATTTAACCATCTTTTACATGGACAAAAATGGGAACCTTTTTCGTATAATGTGGAAATGCCTGTGAGCCATTTTGGGAGATATTTTGCTACCGATTCTACCCAGACCACCACCACCATCAAGCTGATTTGAGATAGCAGAACTCTGCTGCAAAAAGCCATCCTGCAAACTTCTGAGACCTCTGAGGGTTAACATCCACCCCTTCCCTACTTGCACCTCTGGGAGCTGCTATCCCTTCCCTTCTCCCAATTGTTTGCTCCCACAGATGATCTGAAATGACAAGCCCCGGCAGTCTTGGGATAGCTGGTGAAGAGTCAACTCAAGACACAGACCAGAAAAGGATCTTATCCACACCAGTTCCGAGACCTCTCCTGGCTACAGAGAACATCTTTCTTTCTCTTTTTTTTCTTTCTTCTTTTTTTTTTTTAAGGCAATTGGGGTTAAGTGACTTGCCCAGGGTCACACAGCTAGTCAGTGTCAAGTGTTTGGTCTATGGCCGAATTTGAACTCAGGCCCTCCTGACTTCAGGGCCAGTGCTCTATCCACTGTCCCACCTAGCTGCCCTATAATATCTTTTTCTTTTTTGATGAGACAATCAGGGTTAAGTGACTTGCCCAGAGTCACACAGCTATTGAGTGTTATGTGTCTGGGGCTGGATTTGAACTCAGATCCTCCTGACTCCAGGACTGGTACTCTATCCACTTTGCCACCTAGCTGCCCCTTAAAGCTCTCACCTTGTCCCACGTTTTTCAGACAGCAGGTTCAACCAACTAACCTCAGTGGAACCATCATTCATTTTATTCATTCGACAAATACTTGAGTGCATATTACATACCTATGATCAGCATCATTGGGCAATTTTACAGAGAGTATAATTCTTTTTTTATATTAATTTATTTTAATTGATCAACAATCATTTCCATAAGCTTTTGAGTTTTAAATTTTTCTTCCCCTCCCCCCCAAGATGGTGTGTAAGCTATACATCCTATTAAGTGTATTTTCACATTAATCATGTTGTAAGGGAGAATTAGAACCAATAGGAGGAACCACCAGAAAGAGGAAACAAAACAGAAGGAAAAAAAATAGCAAATGGTATGTAAAGAATATGATTCTTGTCTTCACAAGAGTTATGGTCTAGTAATGGAGATAAAACAGGGACAGAGATAGCTATTTTTATTAAATATCATGAATGTTAGTATCATTCTACCCAGAATGCAATGGCAGCTAGGTGGTACAGTGAATAGAGCATTGGACTTGGAGTCAGGAAAATCTGAATTCGAATGTGACCTTAGACACTTACTAGCTGTGTGACCCTGAGCAAGTCACTTATCCCTGTTTGCCTCAGTTTCCTCATCTGTAAAAGGAGCTGGAGAAGAAAAGGGCAAACCTCTCCAGCATCTGCCAAGAAAACCTTAAAGAGGGTCACAGAGAGTTGGACTAGATTGACAACAACAAAATCCAGAGTGCACTTGGGACAATACAGGTATCTTGTTCTCTCTCAGTCCTAGAAAGGATTAGGACAGTCATAAATTCTCTTTCCCTCTGTGAAAACTTGTGGAGCTTTCTGGTCCTCACAGAGATCTATATTAAAAACAAGTATTGCAAATGCAATCACTACAGCTCCAATTAGAGATAATATGTGGTGGTAAGAGTATAAGAGAGGTCTGAACAAAAGGCGATATAAGAAGTTGCAACCGGGAACCTCGGAAAAGGCTTCAACAATGTGGAATTTGAGATGGGCAGGGTAAGGTAGGATTTTAATGGAAAGTGATAGGGGATACAATAAATAAAGAGTTCCTGAGGGGAAAGAGTGTGAGAGAAACAGATGATGAAAGGCCAGGGTAACTCATTAACCATGCACCTTATTACCTCCCTAAAACCCCATGAGGGGGATGGTACAAAATAGTACAGTTACAGTTGAGGAAACTGAGGTTCAGAGAGCTCCCTTAGGAAGCTTGATTATAGGCACGCACGAAGTTAAGTAGAAGAGTCAAAATAAGTCCAAGTATTTGGACTGACTATTCTACCACATCACGAAGCTTCTCAATAAAGACAGATACAGTATGTACTTTATTTAGAAAGCAATGGGGAGCCATAGAAAGCTTCTGAGCAGGGGGGTGACCGATTAGGAGCATACCCGCGACCCCCGAAGGGCTCTCACTCACCCATGCCCTTTCCTGCACCTCCCAACCCCAGAAGCCCACCAAGGACGTTTCAAAATGGCTCCAGGGATGACGTCAAAGAAGCCTGTCGTCAAGCGGTCAGGTCTAGGTCGAACCTGTCAATACTCCCCTTTCTCCCCACCCGAGGGTCCATCCCCTCCCGGCCGCGGGATCTCGTGGGACTTACCCCTACCGCCTTCTTCCCACCGCGACTCCCTGCCCAGGCAGTTCCTTCTCCCCGCCTCCCGCCACCCCAGGCTCCGGGCCAGCGGATAAACCGTTGGGATGCAACCCCTTTGGAAACCGCTCATGCTTTCCGGGTGCGTAGGACAGGGGCGAGAGGAAAAGGGGAGGAGGAGCGGGGACGAGCGCTCCGCCCCCTTCCATGCCCACCAGACCGGACACGCCTACTTTCTGTGGATTGGTCGCCGGGGTTCTAGTCCACGCTCCGTACGAGAGAGCGGACCGGCCAATCAGAAGCTTTGAATGAGTATTTTACAAACTGAAGAAGTGGATTGCTCTAGTTAGCGGCTGGGCTGGGCTGGAAGGAGTTGAGAGGGTGGTCTTATTGCGGGAAGTGACCCTGCTCTTGGACCGTGTGTTGTGGGGTGGGGGAGAGAAGAAAGCCGTGACCGTGGTCCTTCCCCACCCCAGGAGTGGTCACGATGACTACCAGTGGGGATTTGATGGACACCCACCTGCAAACTGCCTTTTCCACCCCCAGCAGGATTCCCGTGTTGGCCCGGAAATGCCTGCTTCTTTCTGGGGGGGGGTCCCAAGCCTCTGGCCAGGAGAATCGGAATCCAAAGGTGAGCTTGAGCCAGGCCAGTCACCTGGGAGGGAGGGGGAGAGAGGAATGGAAGTGCAGTGGGGTTACAGCTTTCCAGCGCTCACACTGAACCCCAGATTTCTGTTCTTCTCTCCTTGCTCCCAGGGGATGATGCAGAAGAAGATGTTTGGTGCCCAGCTTCTCCAGAAAGACCTAGTCAGCCCTAGGCACAAGCTGAAACAGCAGACTGTGGGCCTGAAGGGAAACCTTCGACCGCGGGCCCCACTGGAGGAAATTAGCCTTGGTTCTGTGGGGCAAAATATGGAGGCTGTTCCTCCACCTAGGCCAGGTACTGCTTTAAGGTCTAGAAATGCAGCTCTTCCGTCTAAGCAGCAGTCAACAACAAGGTCGACTGGGAGAGGGGCAAAACTGAATAAGTGCCTGGAGGTTCCTTTGAGTTCTGTTCTTGGGCATCCCCATGATGGTGGTGTGGGGACTAGGACCACTTAGAGGCAGGGTACTTTCTCCCCTATGCCTTTCACCTACTGTCACCTCTTTCTGTCACCTTTCTTCCTTCAGTGGACGCTGGAGATTTGGCCCCCATGCTGTCAAGTGTGGAGGTGACTAGCGGTGGTCACAGATGCCAGACAGGTCTGGCCCAGAGAGTACTGATCCGGGGAAACCAAAACCCAAAAGGTGCCTCCTGTGGGGTACAGGTGAGTTACAGCTGTTGGGTCTGTTCCTAGGCTATGAAGCCTCTCTCTGCAGTCCCTCCGACCTCTACAGACATAAAGGATTCTGTCCCGTTTTCTGGATTTTTGTGGCTGAAATGGGGCCATTGATGATACATTTCCCCAACCTCTGTTAGCTCAAGGAATTCCCACAATTCAAGTGACCCAGGGCATCAGGTCTCAGACTCTAAAGCAGAAGTTCTTAAGCTTTTTCACAGATCCCTTTCTCAGTCTGGTGAAGCCCTGGTCATCCTTTCTTACAATAATGATTTAAAATGTATAAAATAAAATATGTAAGATTACAAAAGAAACCAGTTCTGTTGAAATAAAAGTATAATTTTTTTCCCCCATCCAAGTTCATGGACCCCCTGAAATCTGTCCCTGGACCTGTTGGTAGATCATGGATTCCAAGTTAAGTTCTGGAGCTTTAATAGGCCCTCAATAATAGTACCTGGTTCCAATCAGCATGTATTAAACACCTTCTATGTTCAAGGGACTGGGCTAGATCCTGGGAATGGAAGAGGTGAAATAAGTTTATTCCTGGTTCTGTAGTCATGGAGGGGCAGCTAGGTCTCAAGGAGATGCAGTTCATCTGGAGAGGGGATAGTGGTAAAAGAACATTGTACCTACAGTCCATCCTTTGCATGGAATGTCTTCCTTCCTCATGGGTGCCTTTTAAAAGCCTTCAGCTAAGGCCTGTATCACCTTTTCTGTACAACCTTACTCTTACTTGCCCCCAAACCCACCCTTGAGGTGGAGGCCTGTTTTTATTTTTCATTTGTATCCCCAGGACTTTGCACATAGCAAAGACTTTGTAAACGTTGGATTGTTGTACTGAAACGAATAGGTGTGAAGGGGTGGAATGGAGTTTGAAATGAGAGATGGAGGTAGATGGTGGATCGCACTCTTATCCCTTACTACTCTGTTTTAGGTCCAGACCCCAGGATGTCATACCAGATCTTCATTCTTCAGGAGCAATCAAAAGTCAACAGAAAGAAATGTCATCAACCAGTAAGGAGTGGGTCTGGGCTCAGAGGGGTTTGTTCCATGATAGGTACAGAAGCATGATGGGATAATATTCTACCATACTGAAAAGGAATGACCCAACATATTCCTTCCTTACTATGGGCCCTCCCATGGCCTGAACACTCTAATCAGAAGGCTTTGAGGGAGGGGAAAAATAAAGAATCCAGTACAGTGTAGCAGAACTTCCACTATGGTTTCAGCATCTTCAAACCCTTCCTGACTTTCCAGAGCAGGGGTCACTAGTAACCCAGGATCTTATCTGGGTCTGACTGATGTGTTACCAGAAATTCCCACTATACTGAGTGGCCCTGGGATGCCTTGGAGTATGTTAATAGTTGTACTTTACAGAGGGATAGCCCTGAGTGACAGGTAGAGCATAATTCAACCCTCCTATTCTCTCTGACATCAGGACCCAGATGGGCAGTGATTCAGGACAGCCTTGGACGAGAACAAGGCTACCAGGTGAGGTGAAAATGAGATAACTAATTATAGGGGTAGAATGGAATTATCAAAGCTTGGAGCCAGGAGGTATAAATTAGATGGTACATGATCATGGGGGTGCCTCTTTCTAGCTAACATTCTTTCTGCCCCCAAGTACAGCTTTCCATATGTGCCATCTGAAAGTTTCCTAGCCCCCCCAAGTGGGCGTGATTATCATTTTCACTCCCCTCCTCTCAGGAGAATAAGGGTCCCCAATTTAACAAGCTGCTTCTGAAAATTTGCTTATACTGAACTCTAGTATATAGTCTTAACATGTGATCCCATTTGGGGATTTCTTGGCAAAGATACTGGAATGGTTTGCCATTTTCTTCTCCAGCTAATTTTACAGATGAGGAAACTAAGGCAAACAGGGTTAAGTGATTTGCCTAGGGTCACACAGCTAGTAAGTGTCTGAGGCTAGATTTGAACTCAGGAAGATGAGTCTTTCTGACTTCAGATCTGGCACTCTATCCACTTTGCTACCTAGTTGCCCCATAGCCTTAACATAGGTATATGTTAAATACCAGCTCCAATCCAGTTAGCATTTATTAAGCACTTGCTATGTGAAAAGCACTATGCTCGGCCCCTAGTGTAAGGGGGGGAATATCATGGAGGGAGATGCAAAGACAAAATAAAAAAATAGTCCCTGCTCTCAAGACTATGTTCTGCTTGTTAAATCGACATTTTCAGCTTATGGGAATGAGCCATAGTTGGTGCTCGATAAATATCTGTTGAATCAGTTAATCCTCTGATCATGCTATTCTCTATGCCTGATTGCTCTCCCCAGATGTCTCACTCATCCTTCCAGATTCAGCTCAAATAGGACCAACCCTGTGAAGTCTTCCCTGATTCTCTAGTCCCTAGCCAGAAGTGATTTTGCCCTTTGTCTGACCTCATAGCACTTTATGCTCCTCTGTTAGACTTCTCATTCTCATTTATGTACATAGTCTAACCTTTTTTGTTTTATTTACCATGGAGGTAAAACTCCATGGTATCTAGCACAGTACATCGCATGTGATAAATTTTTGAATGAGTGTCATTCTTTACATAGCTCACCAAACCCCAGGACAGCCAACCGTCCCTGCCTCCTCTGCAATGCTGAACAGTTCCCAAAGTAGACGGGAAACCCACAGTCTTGCTCAGCAGGTGCCACTGAAAGGAACACATGAAGCCCCTCTCCCCATGGTGAGATGGGGAGTCCAGAGAGGACCTTAGAGAGTGGAGGTCAAGGATGTTTGGGAGTGGGGGAGATAGGAAATTCCAGCTTTTGGGAGACTTCCCCAGTAGCAGGTAGCACTGAGAATAAGAGCAGGTGGACAGGGTAGTATCGGTATATCCAGAAGGGTATTACAATGTTCAGAGGCCTAGGTCTGAAACAGAACAGACCCAGGCCTTCCTAAAATGAAACTGACTTTCTCTGCCCCAGTCTTCTAGCCTCTCTGCAGTGGATAAGTTAGCAGAAATTCACTTATATTTACCTGTCTCCCTTCAGAGTAATCCAAGGCAAGGTAAATTGGTGTTTTCTGTCCCACTTTTCTTTGTCTTCTCCCCCACAGGATAGCCCTAGCTTCCCTCGGACCTCTTCTCCTCTTGTTCAGTTCACTCCCGGCCAGGTAGGCCATGCCTCGCCTTTTGGACTGGCTAATCGTGTACCTGTCACCCGTCCATCAGCTCTGGTTTGTACATACGTGGGGTTAGGGTTAAGGAAGGAAGTCACCTGAGTGTGAGTTGTGTGGTCTAACCAGTTCTAGCCACTCTCCGATTTCTCCACAGGCCTCCTACTCTGTGGTACGTCATGTGGCTGTCTTCTCCAAGACTCCTCAGGCCACCCCTGCTCCAGCTCCCAGTGTTCAGCAGGTAAGAGGGAGCAGGAAGCAGTGTGAGTACTGCCAGGAAGAATGGAGACCTAGGAGCAGCGGCACTTGGCACTGTGGGTTTGGCATCCCCTCTGCCTTTGTTCGCTGCTTTTGCCCTGGGTGAGTAGCAGTGGACTGCAGTGGATGGGAGTTGTTACTAACAAAGTCCAGCCTCTCTCTGGCTCTGAGCTTACTCTCAAGATACCCTTCCAGCTTTTCTCACATATACTCCTTAGTTATTAAAATTCTGATTAAAGTACCTTCTCATTCTTCCTCTTGAGAAGCAAATCTTGGGGATCTTGTTTTACTCTTTGTCCCCTAAGCCATATTGCCTTTTCTTAGTGAACACAATGTTTGGGGACAAATAGGCTACTTAGGAAGCTTTTTGCCTCAGAGAAATGAACTGCCTTCCTCTCTGGTCCCTTTTGACAGAAGACCCTGGCATTTTCTAGTGAGTTTTGGATGTTGCAAGGGTCCTAAATGCCTCTTTCCCCATCAGCTTGGCTTCCCAATTGTACCTTTCCCCCAGGAGCAGATTGTTGTCAAGCAGTTGTATGAAGAGAGCTGGGCAAATCTGGAGGAGGAAGCTGAGAAACCCTCCCCCGTAACTCCTCTACACAGAATGTCCTTGGAACTGAGCAAACACAAGGCAGACCCCAGGCATACAGGGGTAGCCACCCCCTCCAACAGGATGTCCCTGGAACCGAGCAGATATGAGGTGGATCCCAAAGATGTTGGGGTAGCAGCTTCATCAAACAAGAAGTCCCTGGAGCTGAGCAGGCACGAGGTAGGTCCCAGGGATGTAGGCGTAGCAGCCTCATCCTCCAGGAGGTTGTCACAGGGACTGAGTGGCCTCATGACCTGTATGTATGTCTTATTTACAGCGCATCAATATCTTGAAGCAGCTACTACAACAGGAGGTAGAAGGACTGGCTGAAGTAGAGGATGGCCACCAGAGTGGCCTGTCTCACCTTAAAATGACTGAGCCCAAGCTGGCTATGATTCCTTATACAATGGAACCCTCAGACCATAGTTCTTCACTTCCCAGCCTCCAAGGACCTATGGAGCACCCTGATGTTGGGGAACCCATCTCCACTGGGGGTCCAGGCATTCAAGAACTCATACAGCCACCTAGCGTTGGCATGCACACCACAGCTTCCACCAACCTGACCTTTTTTCAATGCCCGCTCTGTGGCAGCATTCCTCTCCATTCCCTTGACTCCCTAAGGAGTCCCATGGGCACTATAGGTAAGGAACCAGATTTAAGGGGGAGTGGATAGGCGAAGGCACTCTCCCCTGGATACTGAGGGAGGAGTCCCTCCTTTGAATAAGGGGGTGCCCTATCTTTCCTTTTCCATCTCACTTGGGTCTCATCCACTCTTCATGTGGGGCATAGAAGGGGGAAAATCTTATACCAGAACCTGTGCCATCTTGCTTGTGACCAACTTTACCTTCAGATTGAGTAGTCAAAAAGATCTCTGCCTACTTCTCTCCACGCTTATTTCATTCAACCCCCTGCCCCCAGGTCCTGCTGTCTTAGCCCTGTGCCGGCAACTAAATGCGTGGCTGGAAGCCATTAGACTCCTCTATGAAGGCTGCCTGGATGACGAGTGTGCCTTCTATACAGGGCGAGGCATTCCTGGCCCCCAGAGGATCTGTAAGAATCCTGTGGCCACATGGCTGGAGAGGCAGGAGGCCATGGTAAACCTCACTTGGCAGTGGGAAGTCGGGGTGGGGGTGGACTTGTCTGGCATCGTAGGCCTTTTGCCCAGTGAAGACCCGGGTAAAGAAGAGCTGGCCCTGCATTTTAGGAGGAGCCCAGACTAACAGGATATCTTCTCTTTCTAGGATTTTGTTCCAATCACTTCTCCAGCTACCTAGGATTATTCCAAACCTCCCCACACTTCATTCCTCCTTATTTATTATACATGGACCTTATTTTTTTTTAACCTTTCAATAAAATGTTATGATCATAGTTGTGCTTTTTTTTCTTCTTTTAGGGCAGAAAGAAGAGTAGTTTGAGATTTTACCTCTGAGATAAAGGCATGAAGGCAGCTCAGGCTGCTACTGTGTTAGTTATCCACGAGGTGGCACTACCAACCTTCTCATGAGATCTTTGTACTTATTTCTCAGGATTTCCTTTTCTCCCCCCCCCATGGGTATTCTGTGTATTGAAGGCAGTTTTAGGGTCTCTGCTCTCTATCTGGTTATGTTTAAATTATCTACCCTTCTAGATGTCAGTGGTGTTCTCCTTAGGAGCAAACTCCCTCTCCCCAAACCCCGATCCATCCCACTAGCACCTTTCCTTTATTGACATTTTTCCTTTGGTATTAGATGGGTAAGTAGAGGCACCAGCCTGCAGCAAGGGTTCTTAACCTTTTTGTATTTCATTGATGCCTTTGGCAGTCTGGCAATAAAGCCTACAGATTTCTTCTCAGAATAATGCTTTTAAGATGTATAAAATTGCAAAGGAAACCAATTATGTTTTAAGTAAAAATGTAACTTTTTTCCCATCCAAGTTCATGGACTCTTTGGAGTCCATGGACCTCAGGTTAAGAATCCCTATTCTGGAGGAAGAACCTGGCATCACATCCTGCTCACTCCCAAATCAAAAGCTCTCTGCCAATTAATCTCTCCAAAATAAGGCCTTGATGGGGCCCAGCTGACAGCCCACCTACTAGAAGCTGAGACTTACCCCTGTGTTGAAACCTAGGTTTTTCCTGGGCTCAGTATTTCCCCTGAGGTTCCATCCTTTTTCCACCAGTAATCGCGTGTCCATTTCCCTAGAGTGGTTTGGACTCAAGGTGTGGTAGAGGTGTTTGGAGTCATGAAATGGCTGGCAGTGTAGCTTTCTTTTCACTGTTCCTTCTCAGCCCAAGTCACACTCATCTATACATGTCCCAAACCTTATTTTATTAGAAGAGAGAACAGTAACTGTAACCCTAGCACTCAGTCCAATTGTGGGATATGGTAGGAATGGGGCTGCACAATTTGGGTTTAAAATGCCAGAAAATGCTCCTTCAGTTTACTGACCAAGGCTGGATTCAGTTGCATAAGGACTGAGGAGCAGCCATCTCCAGCCTCTACCTTCTGGAGATGAAGGAGTGGGCAGAGAGGGGGGAGAAGACCAGCATCCCAGCCCAAGGCCTAGCCGTATCTTTGGAACACCTCATGGAGTCCAAATCTTCTGCTCTGGATTCCCTTCCCTGCCCCTAGAAGCTGGTGTCCAGTAGCTGGTGTTTACTAGTTGTACATCACTATCTCCTTGCCTAATCGGTTGCCTACCTCTCTGCCTGTCCTACCTTTCTATGGGGGACATCAGGCTCTGAACCCTTGCCCTCCCTCCCAACCTAGGGCCAAACCATCTCCAGGACCTTCATTTGTGCCTCACCTAACACCACTGGTCCTAGAGCCTACCTACCTTTGTGATGCAATACTTCCTTCAGTCCTCTATTCCACAAGGATCACTCCCCAAATTATGCCTCTCTCCCACCCTGAGGCTTAGCTGGTCCCCTAGAAGCTTTCAGTCTGTTGGTTTATGTCTGGTTTTGGGGGAGAAGCAGGGACTGTGACCTGGCAGTCTAAGCAAAAGGAATAAGATGTGGGCATGGAACAGCTGAGGATAGGGCTCAGCCCTGATGGTTCAATGAGGGTGGGGGTCGGGAGAGGGCTCAGTCCGGGTAGATGATGAAGCCAGAGAAGGTGCTGTACTTGTTGGTGTTCCCACCGTGCACCTTGCCGCCATCCAGCTTGATGAACACCTCGTCCCCTACGTCCAGGTGCAGGATAACGCTGTTGCTGGCGTAGTCGTAGTTCTGGTCTGCATCCTGGGCGATGGCACTGGCCCGGACCTGGGGTAAGGGGACCGATGTCGAGGACAACCTCAGAAGTCCGGGCTCCTGGTACTTGGCCCACCCTCCCCCTTCGTTTTCTGACTGATGGGTTGGCAACCTGAGGGGGTCTCAGTTTTCTCCTGCGGATCCCTGGGAACTCAGGCCCAGGCCCAGTCTTTCTCCCATTCCTACTCCGCAAAACTAACCACGCTGGGGGGTGGGGCAGGGCAGGCCGGACACTGCCAAGGACCGCATAAGTCCTTGGGGGCACTGCAGTATTTGATTGGGTTGGCTGGCTCCCCTCCCTGCAACTTATCATACAGGTCAGTGCCCTTTCTATTGAACTGATTCAGCTTGAGGGCCTCGGGAGCTAGAAGTTCGGGCTTCAGGTCTCTAACCCGCACTTTCTCGGCTTGGACCAGACAGGCAAGAATATACTCTACCTGACTGATCTCGCGAAATTTTAAAGTCTGCTTTTAGGGTTAAAAGCCTGGTAAGATAGACCCAGGAGCGCCTTTCCTCTGTCTTTTCCCACCCCCGCTGCCGTCGCACCTCAAATCTGATTGTCAACCACTCCTCCCCCTTCCTACACCCCTGCCCATCATTTCTTTTCCAGTCCCGCAGGGGCTGGTTATTAACGCATTAATTATTCATTATTATTCTAATCACTATTTACCGTCCCCTGGGCCGCAGCCTGGGAGCCATCCGCCCAGAATACAGAATGGGCACCGCCCCAGTCGTGGCGCGCACACACACACACACACACACACACACACACACACACACACACACACACACACTTCTCAGTTGTCAAGAGACTGGAAGCCCAGAGAAAAAAGGAGACCCAAAGAAAGTCTCCAGTAGGTGTGAATGGACTAAAACACACACGGACACCAGGACAGGCCACGGACAGACACTGAGACAGGGAAACGCACAGCCACAGAACTGACTATGAAGACAGTGGGACAGAGACAAGAAGACACAGGAACAAGCAAAGCATACTTGGGGACCCCAAACCCAGAAGCCATCTGGCATAGCCTGGGGTCACCCTCCGGGCACAACTGCCCGACTGCTTCATATCCACAATTTCCCTTTAACTGGCTCTGCGTTTAAAGAGGAACACACTGAAATCCTCTCCCGTCCAGAGTGCTACAAAGCCAGCTTAGAGGAAAGAGCTTAGCTACTTGCTCTTAGAACCGCAGCGCATAGCTCGCCTACCCTCCTACCCTACTTAGGACTCCCTTAGAGCCTCACCTCCTAGTCCTTCACCTTTGTCCCCCATGGTGTTCTGGGCAAAAAGAACCTAAGCTCCCGTTTCCCCAAAACCAAAGACAGCAGTCACAGGTACTGGCCACGGGGCTTCTCTTTGGACTTCCTTCCCACACCTCCTCCGCCCTTTTGGACTCACCCCCTTTGTGTGAACCACGTAATACCAGGATTCGATTGGATCTGGGAGAGTTCCAACAGGTGCAGGTGTGTTTGGGGACTATTCGGAAGCGTTCGAAACAGAGGGATGACGGGGAAGTCAGAACCTCAGGCACCCGGATCGGTGGGTTCTTAAGGTCGGGGCGCTGCCCAGTAAATTTCTCTCCTCCATTCCTGTTATTTCTTCCTCCGAATATCTTTTCCTTTTCACCTCCTAGACTCTGAACTCCTATCCCACCTTGGGCTGCCGCCTCTGGAAAGCTCGGAAGTGGCAATTAAGAAGGGGAGCAGATCGCTAGCCTCTGCGATTTAGGCAAAAAAAAGGATGCGGGGTCGGGAGGGACGGGAAGGTTGTGGTAAGGTGGTGGCGCGAAGTTGTTTGCGTTTGAAAAACAAATAGCCTTTTTTCTTCAAAATCAGAGCCGAATCTAGTGCGAACCGCAAACCAGCGCCCACCCGCCTGCCAACGGACGTCGGCGGCAACTCTAGGGGATAACAGGGTTGGGAGCTTGGAGCTGTAATTGAAGAGACTCCGAGGAGATGCCGGTAGAAGGGAACCCAGGCAGTTTCGAATAAGCAAAGATAGCAAAGTGCTGGAAACTGCAGGGACCGCCCGAGGGACGTTGGGTCTCGGGGTCGGCAGAGGAGGAGGGGAGGTGGAAGGAGTCTAGATGAGGGAAAAGGACTCGGCCCAAAGTCGGGAAAAACAAGAACCAGATCGGGCAGAGAGACTCAACTATCTGGAGACACCTCTGTCCTGCCTGGCATCCTGTTCAAGGCCTCTGGAGTGTGTGTGGTGGGAGGAAGGAGGGGAGGAGGAGGGGGAGTCAAAGGGATGGGGAGGAGAGAAGCTGTCCCAAGAGGGGAGATTGGATGTGTCCCTCCTGAGGAGCTCAAGCTAGGGTGGTGGAAATAGGGGTGGGGCGGGCAAGTCAGAGATACTGGGCGGTCGATTGGGGACGGGTCCCTCACCTGCCCGTTCTTCATCAGATCTGCCCACATGCTGGTGCCGTCGCCGCCGCGCATCAGCACGTGGTAGGCAAAGAAGTATACACCCGGCATGGGACAGGTGAACTTGCCACTGGCCGCCTCATATGCGTTGCCTACGTTGGTCACCACGTCGTCGAAGCGCAGCACCTCGTAGCCCTCATGAGGCCGACGCAGCCCAGCGTAGAAGGCTATACGGGGAGAGTAGGCAGCAGGCACTGCGCCTCCGGGGCCTGGGCCTGGGGGGCCGGGGGGCCCTTGTCTGCCGGGCTCTCCTGGGGGACCTCTCGGGCCCTGCGGACCAGGGGGTCCCCGCAACCCAGCTTTGCCCCTCCGGCCAGTTTCGCCTTTGGCTCCTGGGGGAAATGGAGGCGCAGAAGCGGGTGATCCGTCGGGATCTGGCCCTCGGGGCCCGTGCGGGTCACAAACCATGCGGCAGCGGCCCAGCATCTCGTAGTGCGCGGGCCCGCGGGAGCTGTGCACGAGCAGCGGGATGGCCACAAGTAGCAGCAGTACCATGGCCACCCCGACGGCCGCGCCCACCACCCGCTTGCGGCGGCTTAGGCGGGATGCGGCCAGGGCTAAGAGGTCTTCCTCGCTCTTGGGCGCAATGGTTGCGGCTGCAGTTATCCTGGATTCTCCTCGAGCAACAGTAACAGGGTCTGGGGCAGTATCAGAGCCTGGGCCGGAACTACCCCCACCCGACGGTTTTGTCTGGCCTCTTGCCCCT